TCTGAATTGATTGAACATTTTAATAAACTTTCACACTAACATAAAGCTATGACAAAAATCCAGTCAAAACACTTGTGAGAAAAGGGCCTTATATCACAAAAGTCTGTTGACAAAATTTGAATATGCAATAAAAAAAAATTAGTCAAAAGAATAATGCACAATGACACCGATGTACCAAGTTTTCAATAAATTTATGTTCAAAGATAACGATCAGTTTATACATGCATGTACAATGATCTATCTAATTACAATGATTTCAATAAGTTTATAATTATACAAATATATGAATATGTACAATGATGTCAGTAAGTTTATGTACAATGATGTCAGTAAGTTTATATACAATGATGTCAGTAAGTTTATATACAATGATGTCAGTAAGTTTATGTACAATGATGTCAGTAAGTTTATGTACAATGATGTCAGTAAGTTTATGTACAATGATGTCAGTAAGTTTATATACAATGATGTCAGTAAGTTTATTACAATGATGTCAGTAAGTTATGTACAATGATGTCAGTAAGTTTTATGTACAATGATGTCAGTAAGTTTATGTACAATGATGTCAGTAAGTTTATGTACAATGATGTCAGTAAGTTTATGTACAATGATGTCAGTAAGTTTATATACAATGATGTCAGTAAGTTTATATACAATGATGTCAGTAAGTTTATGTACAATGATGTCAGTAAGTTTATGTACAATGATGTCAGTAAGTTTATGTACAATGATGTCAGTAAGTTTATGTACAATGATGTCAGTAAGTTTATGTACAATGATGTCAGTAAGTTTATGTACAATGATGTCAGTAAGTTTATGTACAATGATGTCAGTAAGTTTATGTACAATGATGTCAGTAAGTTTATGTACAATGATGTCAGTAAGTTTATATACAATGATGTCAGTAAGTTATATACAATGATGTCAGTAAGTTTATGTACAATGATGTCAGTAAGTTTATGTACAATGATGTCAGTAAGTTTATATACAATGATGTCAGTAAGTTTATATACAATGATGTCAGTAAGTTTATATACAATGATGTCAGTAAGTTTATGTACAATGATGTCAGTAAGTTTATGTACAATGATGTCAGTAAGTTTATGTACAATGATGTCAGTAAGTTTATGTACAATGATGTCAGTAAGTTTATGTACAATGATGTCAGTAAGTTTATGTACAATGATGTCAGTAAGTTTATGTACAATGATGTCAGTAAGTTTATGTACAATGATGTCAGTAAGTTTATGTACAATGATGTCAGTAAGTTTATGTACAATGATGTCAGTAAGTTTATGTACATTGATGTCATTTTTTGTTTTAAATTTTGGAAAGATTTATACATTGAACTAGTTTTTAAAGTATTTGTGCTGAAATTACATTGAGAATCAATAATGTGGAAAATTGATAACTTTGTACATATATAACTTCATAACTTTATCATATTGTTGATGCCCATCCAGAAACACAAGTTAATAAAACAGTCTGATAGTTTATATTGAGATATGGACTTGCCCTCTATGTACAAATTATCCCTTAAATGAATTTTGTACAAACATGCCATGCTATGAAACAATAACAAAAGCTTGGTGTCCCGTTTGGTTATAAAATTGATAAAATGTAATTACCCATCAACCTCCCTTGATGACAATTATTTCAAAATTCCGATAATTGCCAATGATAACAGAGTCCTGTTTTAAGGACTGACAGTAAATTTTCCCTGATCCATGACCCTTCAAGATAGAGGGAATGCATGAAAATCTTGTGCCCAAATCAAGTTAAACAACAATGTCTTGCATGCTTATAGAAGCAAAGGGTGGTCCTTTAGGAATTTAGAATTGTATTACAAACATATTGTTGTGGCCATTATTTTTCTTATACTTCGGAAAATACTGGAAACAGTTTCTGTTCCTTGTCAAAAACCACCCTAGAGATGTTATACTAAGATAATTATAGCCTTATGGGACACAGGAAAACATATTTAGGATGGCTCATTTTCGGACAGATATATTTGACATGCTAAACATACATTACTGGGTAGATTCCACTTAAAACAATGATTTGTATCTATTCATGTTTACTGCTGGAGAATTTGGAAAGATTTACAGGCACTGATATGTTCCCTCATTGTATCTGAAAAGACAGTCTTTTCATGTAAATGTTTAGTTTGATTACAAATAAAGTTTATCATGTTTCTTTTTATCTAGTTTAATTTTGCGGAAAATCCAAGCTGTAATATAACATGCAAATCATGAGAGATAACTGGAGTTCATTATGAAAAAAAGTTTAATTACTTGTAGATTATCTTCTTATGACAAATGATTACTTTGTTGTTGTTGTTGTTGTTCTGTGTGTGGGTTATTTTTTCAGCGTTATTTTAAAAACGGCAGTTCATATATTTTTTCCTGCCAGTTATTATTGTTTTATGAAAGCTTAAGATTCAGTGTGATCCCCACAACCCAATGAAAAAAAATTTCTAACTTAATTTGGAGAAAACTGCCTGATATATCTGGTACACATTATGACTGACAACTGACAATAATATATGATAATAATTTAAACAACTGCCTCATGATGGCTTTAATGGTATATCCAGAGGGTACAATCTTTTATAGACCAGGGAAAATTGCATCCTTAATCATGTGTCATATGCTTTTAATGAATTACTTTTCTTTTTGGTCTTGGCTTATTTCACAAAGTGAATTTTTCTGCCAAGTTTGTCACAGATGGTATGTAACAAAAGAGACAGGATTACTTGAGGGTTTCCCTGTGGAATTACATGGTGTCAAATGTCATTAATTTTCATGTTGTATAGTTTATATATTCCAAAGGGAGGGTTAAGGTACACATGTCTGCAACTGAATACTCTATAAGTCTGTTGTATAAGTTTTGTATGTCACTGTAAACAATGGTAAATTTTCAGCATGATGCCTAATGTTAATTTGAGGCAATGTTATTGCTCTATGTGTTTTATTTGTCTTTTGGTTGATTTGTTCAGTTCTACAGATCAAAAATTTGTTATTATTTCACACTGTAAAGAATAATGTTAAAAATCTTATTTTGGCAGATGTTTTGTTTGACATATAAAGTTAGAACTTGACATTCAATGATATCAATAATTTTACATTTAGTCAAGAAACAACATGAGTTCCAGTGTTCTATAAACTGTAGAGTACTTAGAAAATTCTATGATTTAAATGATAAGATAATTATGTATTGAAAATTAAGTGTGTATTTTAATGATGTTTTGAATTTATTTATTTCGACAATCACATTTCAATAGTTATTATAGTATCACACTAGTAGTAGGCCTACAAGATGAATAAACTTGATAATTTGAATTTTCCTCCAGTTTTGTTTTGTTTTCTTTTAAGCATACTTTAATAAGTAACATCATTAGCCCAAGTTTGTATAATAAGTTGTAGGGAAAGACAGACCCTGTACTTGATATAAATATAGTTTTTCTTTGAAGAATATATCTACACAAACACACCTTGTAATGAAGTAATTACTGGAGATTCATTATATAGAAGACAGGTATTTTCATCATAAGTTTTGGTTTTTGGGACAAAAAGCTGATTAGCTTTTGAGAGTTGCCATGTTACTATGGTAACAGTTAATGAAGCGGTAATGAATGTGACATGATGGCTTATCAGCAAGGTGCTTTTGTCTCTTTTGAACTCTGTGAGAAGTCCTACACACCCTCCTTTGTATTGATGTGTTTATGCCATAACAAACATGAGATTCTGGTAGGGTTAACATGAGATTCTGCTAGGGTTAACATGAGGTTCTGGTAGGGTTAACATGAGGTTCTGCTAGGGTTAACATGAGGTTCTGCTAGGGTTAACATGAGGTTCTGGTAGGGTTAACATGAGGTTCTGCTAGGGTTAACATGAGGTTCTGCTAGGGTTAACATGAGGTTCTGCTAGGGTTAACATGAGATTCTGCTAGGGTTAACATGAGGTTCTGCTAGGGTTCACATGAGATTCTGCTAGGGTTAACATGAGGTTCTGCTAGGGTTAACATGAGGTTCTGCTTGGGTTAACATGAGAATCTGCTAGGGTTAACATGAGGTTCTGCTAGGGTTAACATGAGGTTCTGCTAGGGTAAACCTGAGGTTCTGTTTGATTTAAGGGATTAATTGTACTGTTTGTCCTGGCTTTTTTCCCTAAATTGTGATGGGTTTGGGCCTTTCTTATTTGTGAAAAACAAAGCATGATTTTTTCTTGAAATTGTAAAATTTTAGCATTATTTTCCATAAAATTGTGAAAGAAGAGTCTGATATTTACATAATTTGTTATAGTCAATTTACAACCCACACTTTATTTGATAAAAAAAATCATTTAATTGAAATATTTCAACATAAAATGTTTAAATAGCTTTGATGTCTGTAAGCTGTAAATTATTTAGAATATTTTAGGATACAAATGTATTTACAGTTGACAGTGCTAAATAAACTTTGAATTTTTTTTTGTTTTACTGTTTAAATGCAGCAATCAAAGAATTTTGTTATTGTGAAAGTGGCATTTTTTTTCTTCCAGTTGTGAAGCCGGCATTTTGAAATTGTGAAGGAGCCTTTATAAGGCCCTTGTTATATAGTGAAAAAGTCGTGGACAGTTAAATGTTTTTGATAGTTATGTAAACTTAGAATAACACTTTCACAAGTCTGTCTCCAGCCCTCTTGTCATTTGTAAAGATGTGTAGTGTCACACATATAATATACATATACTTGAGATTTATAGTTATATTAAAAACTTTGAAATGGTGTTAAAATAAAGCAAAATTATTAGCATTAGCATTAGATTTATTACCAATTTGACATAGCATTATAACTAGCTATCATTTTTAATGACATTGTATCTTTATGAATTTATTGAATTATTCATTCTTTTGGGTACAAATTTACTTGATATGCTCTGAAATTTAGGGAGATGAAATTAAGTTTTGTTGTTTATATGTAGTAGAATATTAAGTAAGATTATAATCTTGTATATTTTCAGCTTTGGACAAACTAGGGTATCGTCATGTGTTCAATGTAGGTCTGCAGGTTGAAATTGTTCAACCGAATATTGTGTTTGACATTGCCTCACTTATGCTGTATGGTGCACAAGCGACACCAATAAGGTTGAAGATCTTACTTGACCGGTTGTTCAGTGTTCTCCAGCATGAGGAAGTTCTACAGGTGCTGCATGGGTTTGGATGGTCATATGAAGATTATGCGCGTGGATATATTCTACAGGTAAAATTACTTGTTATTCATGCTTTATGCAAATTTTATATTGACTTGTTTCTTTTTATTTTTTGGTTTGTTGCTTCATTATTTAACTATAGAAATATACTTATTTTCTAAAACCAATTTTATTTGAGAAGATATACAGCATGTACACAACATTTAAAACTAAAACTTTGCATGATTAATACAAATATTCTTGTGCTCAGACTAAGGTTCTGTAACACAAGTTTGTTGCTAAATGTTGATATTGCAAGAAAAAAGGGAAACAAGCATGTTGATTTTATTTAGTATATTGCACGACTATTTTGAAGGACTGAACTTGTCTTATTTAACTTATACATTGCTTGTATCTGTCTACTAACTTTAATATTGTTCTTGCAAGTATTTCCTGATCAGGATTTTCTATGAGTTAATCTATGACAATTCAAGATGTAAAACATGGACTACTTATGATTTATACATGTACATGTTTGAAAATATTCACTCACTATTGTTTAATATAATAATCAATTTGGTTAGTCAAGACACATATTCATAATCACAAAAAGTAACTTTAAAGTGTAGGTGTTGGAACAATAACACACATTTATTAACGCACATGTTAAACACTTTCCTTCACCTTTATGCTTCCTGAAAGGACACGTAAAACAGTGTCCTTCACCTTTGAGCAGCCTGACAGGACATGTAAAACACTGTCCTTTTCCTTTGACAGCCTGACAGGACACGTAAAACAGTGTCCTTCACCTTTGAGCAGCCTGACAGGACACATATAAACACTGTCCTTCACCTTTGAGCAGTCTGAAATGAAACGTAAAACACTGTTCTTCACCTTTGAGCAGTCTGACAGGACACATAAGTGACTGACATTGACTTTTACTTCTGACAGCTTGAAATTCCTACAGTTTTAAATTTAATTGAGTTACCCAAACAACTTTAAGTTTGAGTCAACAAGTGGCAAATACAAGGGAATCTTAATCTATACCTTGTTTGTGCAAACATTAAATTTTGGTTTTTTAGCTACTGTTAAAACTGATGCAGAAAATACCAGATGCGACATACATTTAGCAATAAGGAAAGACAAAAAAAACAAACTTACACACAAAAGATGTAAAGACAGTATACATATTTTCTCAGAAAACGGGGGTCTACAATCTGTCTGTTTATCAGTTATGACAGCCACATGGCCTCTGAGGTTTGTACATGGTTCATTGACAGTCACATGTGCTAGGGGAGCAGTCCTTGTGAACAGATACTTGTGTCAATCATGTCAATCAAGTCTGCATTTAGAATCTGGTATGTAATAATTGCTCCCTGTTACAAGTGCTATGTTAAGGCTTTTTTTATAATAAAGCATTTGGATGCTTTGTGTGGAAAACTTAGCCAAAGAGGTGACCAGAGGAAATTCTTGATTCAATTTCTGACAGATTTCGTTAAACTAATTTTTAATATTTAAAAAAAACAAAAAAACTTTAGTGCTTTTGATGTAAGCCATGCTCATTGAGCATTGCAACAGATTTTAGTGGGGAATTTGTGCTGTAAAAATATTTTTATGTATGAGATACCGCACCAACTTTGTCACCAATATTTCCAAAATTATATGTCAAACAATTTATTTACTCATATATTTCATTGGGATTTACTTTTAATTTCAATTTTATGCATCATATGTAATAAGGTTTATAAACTTCTCCCTCAAAAATTATATTCTTTAAAATTAGTTATTTTTACTACAACTTCTTTGTTTGTTAAGGGATTTGCTTCTAACTTAAATCATCAATAATATTATACAGGAAAATGTCATAACTCTAGCACTCAAGATTTATCACCCCTTTAAACTTTTAATATTTTGATTTATTCTTCAGAATATAAACTTCTTCTATTCATGAGCCACATTTAGTATCACTCTAATAGCATCTATATCTATAGAGTTGTCTCCTCTTTGTACTTAAAATTTTTACTTTAAGCGTTTGGTTGTTTTTAGCTCACCTGTCACAAAGTGTCATGGTAGGCTTTTGTGATCATTTTTCATGGGTCCGTCCATAAACTACATCTCCTCATAAACTGCTAAGCCAATTTCATCCAAACTTTACAGGAATGTTTCTTTGGTTGTCACCTTTAAAAAATTGTTCAAAGAATTAAATTCCCTGCAGAACTCTGGTTTCCATTGCAACCAAAAGAAAAAACTTAAAAATATCTTTTAAAAAAAACCCAAAGATCTAGAGCTTAGATATTTGGCATGCTCAAATACAAGCTCTGGGGTCAAAATTGGTCCTGCCGGGGGGGGGTTAGATATTAAAGAGCTAGAGGTTAGATATTAATCATTAAAAATCTTCTTATGTGTGTCTACAAAGTTTTTCCAACTAAAAGCCCTGGAGTCAAAATTGGCCCTGCCCCATGGGGTCATTGATTTTTCATATATGGAACAGTTAGCAAAAGCAACCAGTAATGTTTTTACACATGCACTATTTCAGATACAAATATGAACTTTGTGATATCAGTTTAAGATTTAGATTTTATATCTTCTTTTGTTTATAGTTTACTAAATTACTTGTTCCTTGTCATGAAGAGTGTTATATTCAGGTGAGCGACTTCAGGGCCATCATGGCCCTCTTGTTTTTGCCTGTTACCATTTTTGTATTTTCTGATCGCAGATCAGTAAATACATAGCTAACATCCACGGTCTAACACAAAATTTCCTTACAGACCTAACAACGCAAAGTAGTTCTCACTCAAAACTGATTTAAAAGAAAGAACAATTTTTTGTTACAAGTGTCCAACAAATTACTGCACATTCAAACTTTAAAAGTAGCGTTGTCTTATAGAATTGTCAATAAATGCACACTCACAAATTACGCGGATGAATATGATTTTAATCAATGAAAATGCTATTTTTAGTGATGTCGATTACCGAATACTACACAAATAAATATGACTGCCGAGTGGTTGAATATATAGTTTCTACATGTTGGACTGTTTGGGCGAGAAGATATTTGCTAAATTATTTACTTCAATTTTAAACAACAGGTTTACCCTGAACAAAATACCTCGAAATTACCCTAACCCGAAATGCAATGGAAATTCTAATTTAGAATGACTAAATTTTATTCAGCCTGTGCGGCTTTAAAAACCCGAAATGCAATGGAAATTCTAAATTTAGAATGACTTGATTTTATTCAGCCTTTGTTTTTAAAACTTCTCCGTGGTGCAGGGGTCACACGCTCTTTTAGTGTGTGACAGGTCTGGAGTTCAAATCCCAGTCGAGTCAACATTTTTTTTAATTCTTTTTTTAGTGTCTTCGTTAAGGAAATAGCCACGATATGCAAGGATAAAAGTGTGGCTATCATAATAAATGAACATAAATGATTTTTTGATGCAACTCTAGTTATGCAGAATTCCGTATGTATCAAACTCTGGTGCCCTGCAATATGAATTAAAGTACATAAAAATAAACTTATACAGGAAAACACATACAGATATACAGTACGATTTAGATTGCAAAGATCAGAAAATACCACAGAGCTTGCAGCCCTTTGATTGTTATTAAAGCTCAGACTGTTGTCTTTTTCATTTGAATTTAGTGTTTTTATTTTATGTTTAACTTTTATTGACATGCATGTATTGTGGTGTGAAAAGGTTAGACATTTTATTTTTTTCTTGAAATTGATAATTTGTTTGTTTTGGTTTTTAACCCTGATTTTAACACATTTTTAGGGTCTTATTTTTTCTTCATAATATAATTTCTGAATTTGTTGACACAATAAATTTATGTTAAATATTCTATAATTAGTAATAGTGAACTTTGAAACACCTGTGATATCTATGATATGGCAATGGACATCTTGTACTGACTGTGACAGGACTTAGTCTAATTACTCACATTTTTGATCTATGACATGACAGTCGTTGTGCCAATTGACCAATATAATACTGTGGAATTTCCTACAAATGTGTCACAACGAGGGACACAGCAGCATAATTGAATTGCTTTAAGTAATAGTTTCCTAGATGAAATTGTCTCAACCCAAAACTAATCTTGGTTCCTGACACTGTACATAACTAACTTGATGAAATTTCTAGCCACTGCTTTGTGCATTCTAGCGTTTCAGAACTGTACACTTGTCCGATAATACCTTTTAATACTGCAGATAATTTTGGGTAACTGTTGCAGAAAAAAAGATTGCCTTTGATTTGATTTTCTAAGGGTTTTAAAATGCTAGACATCATTTTCTTATGAATGTTTGTGCTAAATTTTAATTGTTCAGGGGCTTTATTTGATTTTTGGATTGCTGAAAGAAGAAAATATTATCTCTCAAGATGTTTTTGAAAAATCTGATCAATTGATATGACTAGTTATCTCATCAATGTTAGCTGTGATAATAACTAATTTCATTGTTAAACCTACTCTCCCACATAAAACGGGTCCCTTTTTATAGACATAATTTTTTATGATAATTATATTGTGCAGCAATCAATTGCAGGATAAAAAACTTACCAAGCGCACAACTGTTCTACCCGCAACTAACTGATCTACTTGCAACCAGTAAATATATAAATTAAGTCAGTATTTACAACAACAGTTTGAAATTGCAGCAGGATAAAAATTGCAAATACTTTATTTATATTTAGATGTTTTTGTTTGTTTTTTTTGTTTGTTGGACAAGGCATGTATTAATCATCTAGTTCTATATAAATGTACAAGACTGTGGTGAATTTTTTATCTTTTTCTGACATTTTCTTTCAAAAATGCCTGAACTACAATAACAAGATTTGTTGCATTATAAAAAAAAATACAGATAAAGGGAGGCTATAAGATTAAATGATTGCTTGTTCAGCACAGAGTTTTTCCCCTTGCATAAGACTGAAAAATACTGATCCTATGCATGTGTTTTGTTTTTGTTTCTTTTATAGCTTGTACTGTGTCTATGTTTAGTGAAGTAAGTGATGTATTAAAGTACAGTTTGCATGTAAAACCCTGTTTGCTACATGAGTTTAAGTGAAGAAGGTAATATTATATTCATTTATTTTAGATCACAAATACTCTATAGGAATTAATTTCCTCTAATGTTTTAAAAAAATATTTCAGTATTTGTATCATTTAGAAGTTTAGTGTTATCATGGTAATGGTTTATTTTAAGTGATATGATTCCAGTCTCTATATCATTTAGTTTCCATGAGTATAACATTAATTACTTTTTACCTTTATCTTGTTTTATACTAAGATATCTTACACCTAATTGTAAGGAATTAATTATAACACTGTCAAAAATTAATCATATTATAATGATAATGTTTATTTTATTTTCAGGAGACATCAGGTCGTGTCCTAGACAAGTGGATATGTGCAACAAGAGAAGAGGAATTCATTATAATGCAACAATTTCTACGATTTGGGGAAACAAAATCTATTGCTCAGGAAATAATTTTACAAGATACAAAAGAAAGGCAAGACAACTACATAAAACAAACTACAAGAAATGAATCAGAAATTAAGAAGTTTATTGAAAGAAGCAACTTGTCCATGCAAAATTTGATACGTCCTTTTGACGTGAGACACCTGTTTGGTGCAAGGCTTCCTTTTATAGGACCAGCTGGGAACAGATTGTTAAGTCCGCCACTTCCTGGGTTTTCAACGCCATCTTCCAGTCCAAGAGATCTTCGGCCACCTCTCATTTCTGTAACATCAACTAGTCCTATAGCAACATCACCACTTGGCCGTCTGCAGACAATGCAACCATTTGATTACCGTAGGGAATCTGCAAGCCCAGCTTCCATTAGTCCTAGTGACAAACAACAGTCAAGATCTCCCAAAAGTGACAGTCCACAGAACTTGAGTGTCACTTCAGCCCAGTCAACACCACCACACACACCATATACACCTCAGAAAGTATCTGACATAGAGTCTCCACTATCACATATACCTATCATGCCACCATCAGTCAGTATGGGAGGTCCATCAATGGTCCTCCCTACACTTCAGAGACATCACAACAGTGACGAAGGTGTCATTAACTTTTCACTCAAAGAGGACCAAGACTCTTTATACATTGACAGAAAAAACAAACATTTACGTAAATCATCTAATCCAATCAAAAGAAACTGGATTCCTGATCCAAGCTTTGGAACATCAATGATAGGACCAAATGGGAAAAAGCGTGTTCTCTGCTCAGCTTGTAATAAAACATTTTGTGATAAAGGGGCATTGAAGATACACTACAGTGCTGTTCATCTTAAAGAAATGCACAAATGTTCAGTTGAAGGCTGTACAATGATGTTTAGCTCTAGACGTAGCCGTAACCGTCACAGTGCAAATCCCAACCCAAAGCTTCACATGCCACAAAAAAGACCAAAAATCCCAGATGGTGCTAGGCTTGTTGATGATGGATCAAGTCCTTCACAGAAGCGGCAACTCTCCACACCTCCATCTATGGTTATATCTCCATCTATGGTTTCTGGAAGTCCAGTCAATCTAGCAGAGAGTCCAAATCAGCGACCATTCTATGCTGATCCCAACATACAGATGCCAGTGTTCCCAACTGCAGCCAAAAGACTCAAGCTTGACAGTGATGACGAAGGGCCTAAAGATTTAAGTCTACCATTACTTAAGAGTGGACAAAATTCCCGTGAAACCAGTCCTGGAAATGTGAGTTTATCCCTTGTCCCTGAACATATGTTAGAAGAATACCAGCATGCAATGAAGGAGAGTTTAGATGACATAAAGGAAATGGAACCAAGTGATGCTTTATCTAGCAATTCATTGGGACCTGCACGCTCACAAAGCAGACGTAAAAATATCCCAATAAGATGTGCACAACCAACAGACTCTTATGGGGAAGCAGGGGACCAGAATGAAAAATCGGGTATACTTGATAAAAATGAATGTGATGAAAGTAATGATGATTCCAAAGAAATTGACCACAATGAAGATAGAAGGGTACCAAATGATCAGGAGGTAGAGCAAGGGGATGTTGATATTGATTGTAGTAATTCTGATGTTGAAGAGACATCAATAGACAAGAGTGACAATAAACTTATTATTGATGATAATTCAGATGAAGACGATGATGATGAGGATGATGATGAAGATATTAATGGTAAAGATACTGGTGAAGTTTTAGATTTTGCCATGCACATGCCAGAAGGAATGGACTCAGAACAGTTCATGAATGCATCTGGACAAGATTCAAACACATCTATGGGATCAAATGATTCAGTAGACATGACAAAAAGTAATGGTGAGGTGATGAGTGAAGGAGAGATCCCTATTGACAAAGACAATCCAAAACAATGTGTAGCTTGTGGTAAAACCTTTTTGAATATATTTGGTTTAAAGATTCACTACAAAAATGTACATCTGAAGTTAATGCATACATGTACAGTGGATGGATGCAGTGCATCCTTCCCTTCAAAGCGCAGTAGGGATCGTCACAGCTCGAATCTGAACCTGCATCGTAAATTATTGTCAACAACTGAGGAACAAATATCAGCCGAAGATGCGGATGACAATCAAAATTTTAGAGCAGACATTATTCAAAAACTTTATGAAAATCAAAACTGTAATCAGAGTGAATCAAAAAAAAATAGTATAATAAATGGGGAAAATAATCATAATAACTCTATTGAAAAGAAAGAATATGTTGAAGACGTATGTGAAGAAGGGGAAAATGGTATGGATGTTGAAAATGAAAGAACTAATAATGACTCATGTGATGATAGTCAAAAAGGTATATGCAACACATGTGATGCTGATTTTGCTGATGAAGAATCACTTCAGAAACACATTGACTCAAAGCATGCAAGTGAAAACATACCTTCTGGAGCAAAAAGTTTAGAAAAAGTATCACCAACTAGAAAGAGCAGGCGACAGATGGGTCATGATGGCTTTCACAAAACTCTTAGCTCAAACGAAAAGGCTCTGGCAGTTTAAAGTAGAAATTTTATAATGCTGACTGTTTTTATTAAATAACTTTTTTGTTATTCAGCCATGACATTTATTTTCATTTTTTATGCATTAAAGTCAGTATGTACAATTTTGTCATAAATACTCATATCTTTGAACTATTATTTATATTCTGTGATGAAAAAAGGCATAATCTTGGTATTAAAATTTTGATTAAATTTTTTTTAATGTATTGTTTATAGGGTTTGGTTATTATAATGGGCCATTTTGTGCAATGAAGTCATGGTCTGATTTTGTAAAACTTAGATTATAAACCAGTCTCACATTCTTGCAATGTAATACTGACCAATGACAAAGTTACTTATTTACATTTGATTTAAGATTAGTTACTTAAGATTCTTGTCAAAGGTTTTATTTATAACTGAAAATGACACCAGAAATTTGTTGTTCTGTTTTTAGCTTGTTGTTCATAAATACCATTTAGGAAGCTGAATTTTGTAGCTTTCTTTTATAGCATTGGGCTCTAAATGGATAAATATAGTAAATGTTGTAGCAGTATTTTATGAAAAAAATATAGGATTTTCATGTTTGTTAATAGAAGCCTCTTAAATATTGTGAAATTGTATTTATAACTTTGTTTTCATTACAAAACAGAATCAGATATATAAATGACATGTATATAGTATTCTAATATTGTATCTGTTAACTTTCATGTCAATTCTTTAAATGTAATTTCATTCTTCTATTGCATGTGTTATTTTAAAACAGTTGTTACAATATTGTGCTGTTATAAATGGAAAAGAATTATGCATTTGTTTAAGGTAGGATTCTATGCAATGCATTATGTAAGATATTATATGTTGTACAAAATACCATAGTTATTTCACAGAACATGTGCTTTTTTATAGAACTTTATTCTTATATGCAATCTCAAACACTTTTGCAACAGTATTTGTCTCAGTTTTTCATTAATGAATTTTGCACAAATTTCAATATGCAAGGGTCAATATTTTTGTTCTTTTTGCTTATTTTATGGTACATAGTTTTCATGTTATTAACAAATTATGCAAATTTTATACATTTAAATGCATTCTGTGTGTATTTTATTGAAATTGTAAAAAAAAACAATAATTTTTTCCCATTTTTTGGAATAATGAAAAATTTGATTTTATAAAATATATGTGTCAGTGATATATGAATATTTATTGTTTATACTAATTGTAGTGGGATCTTTTTGGCAGTATTTTAAATTAGAAGCCCTTTACTTCTGTGTAGAAGGGGTCTACCAAGGTCTCTCCATCAGCTGGAACATGGCAATATGACATTTGCAGTGTCGAACCTAACAGAACAAATACTATTTGTAGTGAGCTAATGAAAATTGCCCCAAAGTGACTGAAAATGCATTAAAATGTTAAGAAATAAATGTAATGAAGTTATGCTTAATAGTTTATATGTATGTAATAATGCATAATTTAAGTGCTAGCATAATTGTTAAAGGTCTCAGCAGCTAGTTTAGAGCCAGAACAACCTAAATCTCTATTCTGTTGACTGTTTAATTAAAGTATGAAATCCTCTCTATCTTATAATGGATAATTATAGACTCAGAGGAAATAACTGTCACATAAATATAGCAAGGTTAAGCTTACTTTTAATGTAACAAGGTAATATAATTATAGCAGGAGACTAGTAATCCATGTTTTTGTTATATCAGCTATGCACCTATATTGTATAAATTTGTTGATAATTTTGTTTATGTATTGTTAGCTGTACTTTTTTTTCAAAGAAAAGAAATAAAGGTATTGTTACAGTCATGTTGGCGTTGCCGTCCGCAAACTTTAACGTTGATCATAACTTAAAGTTCTAGGTGTATTGTCTTCATACTTGGCCAAAACAACCCTTGGGACAACCCCTTTAAGTAGCATTCATAAATGACCTTGACCCTAAAATCCTAATTATTGAAATTTTCTTTTTTTTGCTTAAACTGCCTGTAACTTTGTTATTAATTAATGGATTGACTTTATATTAAGACACAACATTCTTTAGGATAAGACCTTAATGTATATCGAAGACAAATTGACCTTGGCTCATTTATTGCATTGACCTTGAAGGTCAAATTATTCAATTTTCACTGATTTTTGCGTTAATTGGCTTTTACTTGGTAATTAATGAATGGAATATCTTCATACTTGGTCAAGACAACCTTTGGACAAGACATTTTGAAAGGTTGAACTGACCTTGAGGTTGAGCTTTAAATGACCATCAATGTCAAATTATTGAATTTTGGTTAAGTTATCATAATTTTGTTACTTATGTACGGATTTGACCTTTTAAAATAAAAAAGGAAAAACTTAAAAAAAATTCCTTTAATTTTCTTTTAAACCATTTGTTTGCTTTAAGAAAAAGTAAAAAAAAAGTTGAGCATTGCCCCGCTCAGCGATGGCTCTTGTGTTTACTTTAGTGCCAAATGACTCAGGTTGATATTCACAATATGTTTTAGTTATGTCTCTGAATTTTTTTTCTTCACATTTTTGTTGTGTAAATACTTAGAGTTAATTTTTTATATAGCTCAACATTGATACAATTTATAATATTTACTGGTAGTAACAATACATTTTTGATATTTTGTTGACTTGACACATGTTATAGTTAAGTGCAGGATAGTCTAGGATAATCCAGAATAGATAGAGTAGAATATGACATATATCCTCTCATACTTTTTAGGAAACATAGATTTTTATAATACCAAGCCTACAATATAGCTAGAAAATTCATATAAATTTCAATTCTGTTTGCTAAGAAAATACTAAAACTTATCTTTAGGGCTATAAAAATATCACACAGTCTGTAGACTGAAAGGTTTGTCATTCATCAAATAACTTACTGGTAAAATCTTTATAATGAAATCATTCAATGTTGTATTATTTTGTGTAGATAAGATTAAAGTACAAATATCAATTTTTCTACATATTTTAATTGGGGAAGTAATTAATTTTTAAGATTTTTTTTTTTTAAATACATAGTGTTCTTTTTTTACAGAAAGTATTTTCTAGGGTAGGTACCTAACCCATACAAAAGGGTAGAATTTAATTTAATTTCTTCATCAATTTTAAATGTTTCTCGTGATATTTTAATATAAAATGATTGAATCATGGTTGTAAAACTAATAAAATGGAAAGAAAATTAAAACCAACAAGAATTAAAAAAGTATTTGAAATTGGTACCCACATTAAACTTACAGAAAACTTGGATTTGAACTTTAAGAAATGTAAATAGTTTAGCACTGTCTTGTATTTCTTATGTCTGAAGCATGCTATGTAGTAGTTTTCTTAAGAAGATTTTTTTATTCTATACCAAAAAAAAGTTAATACACCATGTGTATTACTACAGATTCACTTTGTTTCTATGCAAATATTTGATAAAGCAGCTAGTGTCATTGTAGATGTATACAATAGAGAGTAGTTGTACTTGATAAGTCACAATATACATTCTGTATTCCTTTCATTAAAGTAGTTGTAGTCATATTTTTATCTCATATTTCAGATGTAACAATCAAATATATTTAAAATCTTGCTTCTTACTTTAACATGTACATCTTATTTTTGCTCGAAATGTTTAATCTATTTATTTTGTAATTGACACAAAAATACAGTAAAGTATTACTCACAAAAAATTATGTCTCTATTATAATCATAGTTAATGTTTTAAAAATACAAGCAAGTCTGATCTATTCAAATAGTAGTGTGGGCTTCTTTTGAAGAGCTTTCTTATAGTGGTCATAATTTAGAGGGTGCTCCCTTACAACAGGTCTGATTATATTTTAAATGCATATCTGTGATGATATATGAAGGTGAGCTAATGTAACAGTGTTGTAGTTTTGATAGTACATGTTCAGTACTTACAGCTGAATACATAACTCACATTGTTGTATGTATGAGTTTAATACCTGAAAGTATGCTTTGAATCTATGAACACTATATCATTGCAAAATGAAATTATCAATAATTCAACTTTTAAATTATCATAAAAATTACTTGAGGAATCTTGTCCTGGACTGGTAGCCACTTACTTTCATATACACCCGGCATGTTATTGTAAGGTGTAGTTATATTTTCGTCCATGATATATTTATTCTATTAAGTTTACATGCATGCCAGTTACAGTTTATGTTGTAAACATGTATAGATGTTATTACTGTATCATACTGATCAGTTCTAGTAAATTGTACAATATATTAGAAAATAAACATTTTTATGAAACAGTATGTTAATGTTATATTGTTCCTAGCATGTACTTGAGGCTAATGTAAGTATTTTAAGGAAATTTCTACTTGGACACCACTACAATGTGTAGAGCTTAGATACTTACATGTTCCTTGTAGCATGACCCTGTGTTTCTCTATAGAAGTTTTATAAATCATGCCTATTTGGCCAACAAAAACGATCTGTGATCACATGTGTCGCCCTGATGTTAGATAAATAAGCAGTTGTATTGAGATGGATAATTGACCAGTTTGTTCCCTATATGTGGCGGCTACTTTGTAGCATGTTGCAGCTACTGAGTAGCAGGAGCCACAAAGATCATTAACAGGCCAAAGCGCTTTTGAGCTCACCTGACCACGAAGTGGTCAAGGTGAAGTATAGCGATGGGGCTATGTACGGCGTCGTTCGTCGTCAACAATTAGGTTGTTAACAGTCTAGCAGTCACAGTTTTGATTGGATCATCATCAAACTTTGTCAGAATATTTGTCTCAATGTAATACAGATCGAGTTCGAAGATGGGTCATCTCGGGTCAAAAACTAGGTCACAGGAGCTAAAAATAGAAAAAGCTTGTTAACAATCTAGTGGCTGCAGTTTTGATCCAAATATTCTGGAAATTTATCAGGAAGGTTGTTTTGATGATTTCTATATCAACTTTGAAGATGGGTCATCTCTGGTCAAAAACTAGGTCACAGGGGCTAAAAATAGAAAAAGCTTATTAACAGTCTAGTGGCTGCAGTTTTGATCCAAATATTCTGGATATTTGTCAAGAAGGTGTGTTTTGGTGATTTCTAGGTCAAGTTCCAATATGTGTCATCTCTGGTCAAAAACTAGGTCACAGGAGCTAAAATAGAAAAATCTCGTTAACACTAGTGATTGCAGTTTTGATTCAAATATCCTGAATATTGGTCAGGAAGGTTGTTTTGATGATTTCTAGGTCAAGTTTGAATATGGGTCATCTCAGGCCAAAAACTAGGTCACAGGAGCTAGAAATAGAAAAAAAGCTTGTTAACAGTCTAGTGGCTGCAGTTTAGATCCAAATTTCCTGAAAATCGGTCAGGAAGGTTGTTTTGATGATTTCTAGGTCAAGTTCGAATATGGGTCATCTACGTTTAAAAATGTTTGATCCAAATATTCTGAAAATTTGTCAGGAAGGTTGTTTTGATGATTTCTAGGTCAAGTTTAAATATGGGTCAACTGGGGACAAAATCGGGTCACACTGCCAAAATATGGAAAAATCTTGTTAACACACTAGAGTTCACATTTTTACTCAATTGTCATCAAACTTGGTCTGGATGCAGACATTGCTCGGATGTGGTTGATGGGTCAGGGGAGCTATCTAGAGCCATCATGACCCTCTTGTTTATAAAAGGGGCATAACTCAGCCAAAAACATTTCAACCGAAAAACCTATGTATTATGCACAAGAACTTTAGATACCAATCAATACTGTTAATTTTCACTCAAATTGCATCAGTAGCATAAGATTAGCTAGTAGTCCGTACAAAACTTTAAAAAGTAAAAGATCATTAAAGGGCCATAACCCTGACAAAAATTATTGAACTTGAAAATGCCGACGATATGCAAAACAGACTTGGTAATTCTAATTCCTGTGAAGTTTGGATGAATTTGTGCTAGTAGTTTTTGAGAAGTAGTCTGGACAAGTTTTGTGACAGACGGACAGACAGACCACAAAGTGATCCCTGTAAGTTATGACTTTGTAGCATGTATCAGCTACTGTGTAGCTGGCAACAAAGAAATCATTACCAGGCCAAAATGCCTTATTTTATACCCCGCACAACAAGGTTGTAAGGGGGGGGGGGAGGTATACTAGAATCAGCTTGTCTGTCGGTTTTTCCTTATCTGCCCAATAACTTGAGAATCCTTTGTCTTCATATTCGGTATTGAGATTGGTCATGATTAGAAGATGACTCCTATAGATTTTGAGGAAGGTCAAGGTCACAGGGGCATTGACTAAAAAAAGATTGTCTGCCCAATAACTTGATTCCTTTGACCCATAGTCTTCATATTTGGCATGGAGTTTAGTCATAATTATTAGATGACTCATATTGATTTTGAGGTCACTGGGTCAAAGGTTAAGGTCACAGGGGCCTTGCCTAAACAAAAAGCTTGTCCACCCAATAACTTGATTCCTTTGACCCATAGTCTTCATATTTGGCTTGGAGTTTAGTCATAATTATTAGATGACTCATTGATTCTGAGGTCACTGGGTCAAGCGTAAAGTCATAGGGGCCTTGACTAAAAAAAATTGTCCACCCAATAACTTGATTCCTTTGACCCACAGTCTTCATATTTGGCATGGACGTTTGTCATGACCATTAGATGACCCCTATTGCTTTAGAGGTCACTGGGTCAAAGGCCACAGGGGCCTTGACTTCAAAAAGCTTGTTCGTCCAATTTCTTTAGAATGCTTTGGTAAACAATCTTCATATTTGGTATAGAGGTTGGTAATGACTAGTATATGACCCCTTTTGTATTGAGGTCAAAGGTCAGAAGGGCCTTGACTAAACAAGCTTATAATTTCAGAATCTTTTGACCCACAGTCTTCATTTTTTAGCATGGAGGTTAGTCATGACTATTATATGATCCCTGTCGATTTTGAGGTTACTGAATCAAAGGTCAAGGTCACAGGGGCATAGCCTTCAAAAGGTTTGTCCGCCCATTAACTTAACAATCCTTTGACACACCCAGTCTTTATATTTGGCATGCAGGTTGATTATGACCATTAGGTGACCCTAATTGATTTTGAAGTCACTGGGTCTAAGTTAAAGGTCAAAGGGCCTTTAGTTAAAAAAGCTTGTCTGCTCAATTGCTTAAGATTGCTTTGGTCAACAGTATTCATATTTGGTATTGAGGTTGGTTATAACCATTAGATGACCCCAATTGCTTTTGAGATCACTGTGTCAAAAGTCACGGTCACAGGGGGCTTTTACTACAATACGCTTGTCTGCTCAAATGCTTAAGAATGCCTGTCCACAGTGTATTGATTTTGACATTTTCACATTTGAAGAATACAATTTTGTTCTCATATATTCATCATAAAACACCCCTAGGCAAAGCTGCAGTTTCAGTATTGAGGTCAGTAGGTCAAAGGTAAATGTCACTGTGATCTTTGCCACTAAAACAGAATGCATAACTTAGCAATGCACTGGCTTACTACAGGGAGGTTGTCCTTGAGCTTTAAATGACCACTGTTGATTCTGACAAAGTGCTATGCGGGGATATTCACGCCATGACAGTGGCAGTTCTAGTTTTTCAAGGACCATAACTCAGTCAAAAATAACTCAACCGGAAAACCAGTGTAATATGTGCAAGTAATCAATCCTGTTAAGCTCCATTGAAATGGCAAAAGAGAAGTAGTCCGGACAAACAAAAAAATTCTTCAAAGGACCATAACTCTGACAAAATCATTGAATCGGAAAATGCCTTATATATGCACAACTAGTCTTGGCACTGATCATTCCTGTATAGTTTTGATGAAATTGCATCAGTAGTTGTTTATGTAGTAGGCGACACAAAATGGCTCGGTAACAGGGTTCACTTATTTACATAGATCTGAATAAATGAAATGTCTTAAAAGTTTTTTCTTAGAAAGTTCTATACCCAGAGCTTAGATATTTGGTATTTAACATCACCTTGAGCTCCTCAATAAAATATATATGAATCATGACCCTTGGGTCAAAACTGGTTCTGCCCCTAGAGTACCTTATTTTATATAGACCTGTATAGGAAAATACATTTAAAATTTCTTGTGCCATGAGCTTAGTTATTTGGCATATAGCATCGCTTTGTGATACTTTACAAAATTGACATAAATCATGTCTTCTTATGTGAAATTATAAAGCCCATAGCTTTGATATTTGACATGTATTATTCCTAGCTTGCATGTATAAATGTTGCATAAATTATGCTGCGTTGGTCTTTAAGGGATTGTACACAAAATCACACAATAACGTATAGTGTATGGCCACCTTGAGCAAGGAGTGCTGCCTGGCATAGTTTGCGCATAGAACCGACCAGTGTTGTCAGATTTCTGCACCACTTTTTGATTGGCATTATCTTTCAATAGTGGGACGACGTGCATCGCAAAATATCAAGCAATCGATCTATTATTGACAGAGTTATGCCCATTTTGAAACTTATTTTCTGTTATGACTTGAATGGTTTATATTTTGCGTGTAAAGTATGTTACATCTAAACACAGGCACATGTTTGTACGGGGGTCAGACGCTGTAACTTAGTATTTCTTTATCTAGGAATAATCGGGATTTATGTTTTTTAGGTTAAACAAATGTATGTATATGAAATGAGGTTATTTCAGGGAGAAATTATCTGTCTATACATTTCCAAATTCGTTTTTCTAATTTCATTATGACTAAAGATTTTAGACCACTCACTTTATTTTGTATAATGAAAGATTTTATGATCTTAGGCGGAAAATATTTTGTAACAGAAATATGCTTTATATGTCGATCAAATCCGTCATATATTAGTATTTTCTATAAAAAACAAAGATGTATTTATGGCATGAGCCTGAAACAGGATCGACGTTTTTGTATTTTTGTATAATTTTTTAGTATAAAAACTGAAATTCAACCATACTTTGATAAAATCTGGGACTTCAAATTCTAAGTCCCAGGTAAAATCAAAGCACTGAAAGTACTGAAGTATACATTGCTTGATAATATAATCCATTTTTATCATCAAGGCCATGTTGATTTTAACCTACTGATTTTAACCATGCTGTTCGCTTACAAACCCTATTTCAAGTACAGAAACTGATAGCGGACAGCATGGATCCTGATCAGACTGCGCGGATGCGCAGGCTGGTCTGGATCCGTGCTGGTCGCAAACCGACTATGTTGGTTTTGTCGTGACGCGGCTCATAATTATGTTCTTTACTCTATTGAAACTACGCAAGTTCATATAGCATATAAATATAAAACGACTGCTAGATTATTTTTTATTATAAACAAATAAAAAGTAAAAGTTAATTATTTAAACGATTGAAAAGTCTAATTTTATGGGTATTTTTATTCATATACCTTTCTTATCGCGCGTCCAATGTGGTTTTCGGCTTTCCCATGTTTTTAACGCTGACTGTTACATAGCCGAAAAAACACAAGTTTTTCATACTGTATTTATTACAAAAAATAACTGACATTTTACAAAGGTAATAAAATTTATGTAATAGTTATTCATTTAAACGGTTGAAAAATGTATTTAGCAGCACTTTTTTAAATATATCTATTTTATCGCAAGTAAAATGTGTTTGTTTATTTATTTTTTTTAATTTTTTTTTTTGCTTTTCTACGTTTTTGACGCTAGGCAGTTTTTGACGCTAGGCAGTAACATAGCCGAAATATTTTACAGTGCTTACAAATATAATGTTATAATCATTCATTTAGACTGTTGAAAAATTTATTTAATAGTTCTTATTTTAAAAATGTTCATTTCATCGCCAGTAAAATGTGTTAATTGTTGTTGTTGTTTTTTTGGCTTTCTTTTCCATGTTTTTGACGCTAGACCGTTACTTAGCTGAAAAACACTCTCATACTGTATTTATAAAAATAATAGCACTGACATTTTCCATTGGTAACAAAAAAAGTAATAGTTATTTATTTAAAAGGTTGAAAAAAATTAATAGCGGCTCTTGTTGTAAGCCTAAGTCACACATTCAGGATTTTTACTGCCGTCCTTGATAGGACCATTCCCGATTTAAATGTGTCAAAAGTCTAATCAAAATCCTGTGATTCGTGGCTGGAAATTCAAACTTTTTTTAAAAGTTGTAAAGACATTTATTTAATCACGACCTCAATCAGATATTGTTCAGAAGGCGTCCCGATCCAGCCGTTTCCAGCAGAATTCGTCCCGATTATCCCGTTCTCAATCCGATTCTTATCCGATTTGTATCTTTGTCATGGTAAAAAACGACCGAATCTGTCCCGACAGCGTACCGATTCTCCCGAATGCGATCCGACAGAGATCAGACAGTGACAAGACAATGAACCGACTCTGACGGAAGACATCCGTTATAGTCCGCATCTACGAGGGCCATCAGGACTATGGAGAAGAAGCCCTCGTAGTTATGGTAGGTAGATTGGTGTTTGGTGGGCAATTGCAACGTGCTTTCCGTCCAATGCACCGCAAACATGTGGGAAGTTCCAGAAATTCATTTGCGATTTCCTTCCACTCCGCTGGGGTAGTGGGACAGGCGATTACCTCTGCAGCGTACTCATCAATGATGGCGGCTTGGCAGGCTTCAGGGACAAACATTGACATGGTGTTACTGGGAACCCTGAAGTCCCACTTTATGCTGCTGTAACTGTCGCCGGATGCCAGATGCCTCATGGTACAGCCAAACTTCAGTCCTGGATCAAGGGCTTGCCTCCACCAGGTATCTTGTTTGGTGATGCGGGGTGTGATCCTAGCCAGGACTTCATCGTATAGTTCCATGGATAGCCTAATGTAGTTGGTGAAAGCTTCTGGATCTTCTTCTCTCAGCTCCCTCATCAATGTGTCATACTGGCCGAGCTGCTCCCTTCTGTATATCCAGGGCTTGACCCAGTATCTTCTATTTCTACCAGGTCGCAGTGCCCTTCTGTTCAAATAATAATTGGCAAACAGAAGGTCTTCTTTTTCCATTTCAATGAGAGCAACCTGCTGCAGAAGTCTCCGTCTCCGAGCAGCATTCATGGTGGACCGGTCAAAGTACTGTCAATGTATGACACACACATTAACTACGACTATTTTATCGCCCGTAAAAAATGCGGTATAGATGGATACAGAAAATAAGCAATTTTCGCGAAAATAAGATTGCGGCTACGAAAATAAGATTTATTTTTGAAAAAGTGCATTTATCTGTTGAAATAATTAATGTAAATTATATATTTATGCATTCATTAAATGATTTTACAGCAAATAAAATTACAGAACCAAAAAAAAGTATTTAAAAATGTGAATTTTTTGCCGAAAATACTATCATACGAAAATAGCTCAAATTGCCGTGTAAAACAAAAATAAGATCGGGTCTACGAAAATAAGATTTATTTTGATAAATTTTAATGAAAACGGAATGTAACGCTCCTGCAGAATGAAGAATTAGTTTCTATAGCGGTTTTTATCCGGGAGTGGATGTTGTTCGGTAACGACTTAACTTGGAACGATTGAGGAGATATAGCTTATAACTCTGTATACATATTTTTCGGGCCAATAAATCTAAATGTATTTTATGTATCAACATTAAAAGATCATTAAAGAGGAACATAAACTCTACATTTGAATATAATATTTATTCTCTGAGGGAAACAGTACTAAGAAGCTTCATTCAAATGATTTCAATCATTCGATGGGGGATAACAACTCAACGAATTTTTCATCTTGTATATCAGTGATACAGGGGTGTGACAAGAACGTAGGTATTGTGCCAAAAGTACGACAAGCTGAATGCATGAGCTTTGATGTTCTTTTTATTTATTTAAGTAAATATGTTATATTACATTTCTTCCATGATTTATTCTTGCGGCAGGACACTTTTTGTGTAGTAAACATGAGAATAAAAGTAGAATAGAAGCAAACTAAATTTAGACAACAAACCAGTTAATTTCCAATATGTTATGATAAAATAGTTCTCTTTTATTTTAAACATTATCATCTTACGTTGTTCGCGCATGCTCAAGCCATTTAAACACTTTCTTGTCTACTGGTTTCCCATTTCACTCTCCGCCACTTAAACACTTCCTTGACTGCTTTATTCCCATTTCACCTCCCTCACAGCCACTTAAACACTTTCTTGTCTATTGGTTTCCTATTTCACCTCCCACACAGCCAATTAAACACTTTCTTGTCTACTTTCCCCATTTCACCTCCCTCACAGCCCCTTAAACACTTTCTTGTCTACTTTCCCACAGCCAATTCAACACTTTCTTGTCTAATTTCCCATTTCACCTCCCACACAACCAATTAAACACTTTCTTGTCTACTTCCCATTTCACCTCCCTCACAGCCACTTAAACACTTTCTTGTCTACTTTCCCACAGCCAATTCAACACTTTCTTGTCTACTTTCCCATTTCACCTCCCACACAGCCAATTAAACACTTTCTTGTCTACTTTCCCACAGCCAATTAAACACTTTCTTGTCTACTTTCCCATTTCACCTCCCTCACAGCCACTTAAACACTTTCTTGTAACCCATTTAAATTGAATGTATTGCACATTCTTGTTTCGCTCAGATTAGTTTCTTTAACTAAGGGACGAACGAAGCTTTCCTTGAAATGGGAGGTTCCAATGTCCACAGTGCATTGGTGGCAAAATCTTGCAAAAGATTCTTTTGAGGTGTTACGTAACATGAACATTTTCAAATGAAAATAAAAAGTATCAAATATATGTAATGAACAATCACAAATGCATAAAAAATTAATAACAATTTTAATACTTGATAATCATTAAATATAACAGAATGACAAATGAGAAACAAACGTTATTTCACACACTACTAGTATTTAGAAAATGGAATTTAGACTTCGCTCCAATGACGCTCACATAAAGAAACTCAGCTCACGTTATGAATGGAAAGTAATGGAATCACCTTGATTAGCAAATAAACGTAAGTTAACACTAACAATGTTCCATAACATATAAACATGTTCCTGGTGGTAAATGAAGTTCTTTCATGGCTAGGATAGTACACATATTTTAGATTTAGGCGGATTCTTTGATTCGTTCCTGAAATAGAATGAAAATTATATATACATGTATAGTTCACTTCACTTAAGGCGACAACAGAAACTTTTTCGTGGAACTACCATAAATGTTATTTAAACCAACTTATTTGAGTGATTATTGTTATTTTTTTAATTTTATGCATTAAATGTCTTTGATCTTCATAAAAAAATAACATATTAAAATAAAATGCCTTTGTAAATAATTGATTTTGAACACAAACTCTGTAATTTTAAATCGTCATATCAAAGTCATGTTTTGATTTGTTTGTCAACAAACTTTTGGAATATAAACATCATTACAATATCTGGGGAACCCTGTCACAGATTTTTTTAACCATCTTTTCTAAAAAAAAATATTACGTAACGTCAAACATTTTATGCGACTTTTTTTACCATACTTATTACGTAATTAAAGATAATTAAATCGCTTATTGAGCAAACAAAAATTCCTGGCACTGTTCCCTCCACAAATGAATTCCCTTTCCGCATGTAAATTAATTGCTTGATTATTAAAAATGTTATGCCGATTCAAAGTTAGTCCGACCAGCATCAAACGAAGTGTCATCTCTCTCAGATCCCTACGTTTCACGCTAAATTATTGCATAATACACAAATATCGCACCAAAGGGGGTCACAAGTTAAGGTAACATACTATAATAACTTTTTATGACCCAGTGACATATGACCAATTAAAAAGCTGCTGATTAATATAATTTTATAGCAGAAATCTTAACGAGATTTACTGTCCGTCTGGTATTTGTCGCACGAATGTAGGACAAAACGCTACACGTCAAAACCCCACACCTCAAAAAATTATAGAGTGAACAAAACCCCACACCTGAAATCAATAGAGTGGACTAAACCCCACACCTTCAATCTTATACATACTGTAATTTCATCTTGTTAGATATAACATTCTTTATACATGTACCTATTTAAATTTAACCGTAGTTCTATCTCATCATAGTTTACTCTAGTTAAATAATATCGCAGTTTAAATCTTACCGTTACGGTAGTTTTATCTCTTACAGTAGTTTTATCTAGTTAAATCTTACCATTGGTATATCTCTAGTTTTACGTAGTTTTACCTAGTTAAATCTTACCTTAGGCTTATCGTAGTTTTATCTATATAAACAATATCGTAGTTTTATCTAGTTTTACCTTACCGTAGTTTTATCTAGTAACATCTTACCATTGGTTTATCTAGTTAAATATCATCCTAGTTTTATCTAGTTACTTGTTTATGTACTTTTATCTAGATAAATCTTACCTTAGTTTTATCTAGTTAAATCTTACTATAGTTTTATCTAGATAAATCTTACACTAGTTTTATCGATCTTACCATAGTTTTAGTACAAGAAAGAGCATCGAAACACGAGGCTATCTGATTTAAGCCCCCGAGTATAAATCAGATTGCCGAATGTTTTGATGTTCTTTCTCTTTTGTATCATAGTCAAACATAAAAACACGTTCCCTGATACCGCATTATAAAACCCCACAAAAAGTAACCAATGAACGAGCATCTGAATATGATATTTCCATCGCTATCCGTTTCTCTGCCGTCACAAAAATCCCGGACAAAATGAACCAATCAATGGGCATGCTCTGGAGTGCGGGTAACTAACACCTGCACTGTGCATGTATACAATGTATGCAACAGAAATGTCCCCAAACTATGATACAATGACCGTAGTTTTATCTAGTTAAACATAACCATAATTATATCTATTTAAATTTTACCTCATACCATTGTTTTATCTAGTTAAATCTTACCGTAGTGTTATGTAGTTAGATCTTAACGACTTAACAATAATCTTTTAACATTCATTATACTTTTCTCATGAAACTGTTAGATTATCTTACTTTTGGTTTTCTGCTTTCATTTTCTCCACCTCTAGTTTTGCCATATTCTCCTCATGTCTCATTCGTTCTCTCTGTTTCTCTTGTTCAATCTTTTCAATTTCTATCTTCAGTCTTTTCTCCTCCAGCTCTATTCGTTTCGCTTCGTTCACCTGCTCTTGTTTCTTATGCTCCAAACTTTGTTCTTCTAATTTATGTTCACGTTTTTTTCTTTGAAAGGAATGTCAAGATTGTTACGTCATGGGTTTATGAACGACATAAGTATATGTCGTCTAACTACGTTTATTATTCCAGACTATAATATATAAACGACATGTGTCGTATAAAGGAGCTGTACGCAATTTAAGTCTCATATTACAGTTTAACTCATCAACCTAAAATCATGTTACAGTTTAACTCATCATGCTACAACTTCAATCCTTACAAAATTAATGTAATATTTAAATATAATTGTATCATAAGTGTTTGAGGTTATTTAAATCACATAATTTTTTCTAATATAGCTAAAATAAATTCAGAGAAGAGAAACTTTATATCACATGAGGATTATAGTAACATATAATTAATAAATTTTCATTTACAACATCTAGTAGACTACTACACATGAATTATACAATAAATTTCTTTATTGGAATATATCACCGTCTATTAACAAGTCTGTTACAGCACGTGCATCACAGGCTGTTTATTGCTATCGGTACGCTCTGACCCTGCGTTTATCATGTCGTCATTTACTGACGTTCCATATTCAAAGCCCCATGTGTCAATAAAGGTGGTGTTTTAGATTTTAACAAATCTTTACGATTTCTGCGATATTGTTGTCCGTTTTCTGTTGACCTATCGCTGTGATTTTTTTTTACAAAAGCGGGACTCCAGGACCTCCTAGAGGTTGAATTCTAGCTGAAATGCCAACGTTTACGGGAGACTTTATTTCCTGCCTACATCAGGGGGTGGTACTCGTGATACAAGGTTAGGCAAGATAGAACGGAGTTGTCGTGATTGGGAGCGGAACGATATTCTAAAAAACATATTCTTGGATCAGAATTATCATCTTTTGCCTTTTTAAATATACGTTTGGCAACTTTAACCATCGCTTCAGCCAAACCAATTGTTTGGTTATGATATGGACTACATTTTACAAGTAAAAATCCCATGACTTTGAAAACTCCTCTTGAATTCTTGACTAGAAAAAACATGAACCCCCATCAGTGACTATTTTCTCACATATGTCCCAATGTGACATCTTCCATGTGGGAAATAGCAATTGAAATCTTTATGTTCGAAAGTTCACGAACTATGGAAATTCGGACATGACCATGAAATTTTTCTCATTAAGTGAGAACAAGTCACACCCTGCAGATAGCCCCTTCTGTTGCGATGACCTATATTCCAGACAAATCTGAAATTGTTTTACCATTTCAGTTATATCATTCGAAATTCCCGACCAAAACATTATTGACCTTGCACTACTAAGACATGTTTGGCACCAAGATGACTGGAATGCAGCACCTTTAAAACATTTCAGACCTAAGTGACCTGGGCGTAACGATTTTTTTCCTCCTTTTATTAATTAAATTAAACCATTAACCTCAGATAACTCATCTATATAGTTCCAAAAGGCAGCAATTAACTGATGACAAGCCTTTTTTTGTACTTAGGCCAACCAAACTTTATTGTTTGTTGTAATGTACATAATTGTTCATCTTGTTTTGTGTGTAACCTGATTTCCTCAAGTTTTCTATATTCCATATGGAATTTTTTACCGGACATGTGACGAAACTGAAACATATATGGAGTTAATTTCAAGACTAAACGCTGCAACCTAGCAGTTATTGAATGCATAGACTTTTACAGTAAGCCATGTATAGGAGATGGTCATTTTGTACAATGACATCACGGCCATAGCAGTACTGATGAAATTTCGTAAATCCAAAGACAATAGATAATAGTTCTTTTGAAATGTGACCCGGGCCATATTTCTCTGTATGAGACGCAAATGCTCTGAGACGTTTTTCTTGGACGATAACTGCACCTAAACATATATATGAAGAATCTACTTGCAATGTCAAGAGTTTGTTGGGGTTATAATAAGCCAAACATGTGTCCTTACAAAAGACTTCTTCATTTTTTCAAAGGAATCATTTCGAGACTTTTGCCTCATAAAGTATCATCATGCAATAACTGTATCATAGGAGCGGTTATCTTTGATAAATTGTCAGAGACATAACGACTGAGATAATTAGCCATGCCTAATACCACCTGTAGTTCACTTTTTGATGTGGGTGGTCTCATATCCTTAATGGCCTCAATTTTGGCGGGACGGCCTATAAGCCTTCTGCGGTTAGCATGTGACCAAAATAACATGCTGGTTTCCGGTATGTTTGTTTAACTCCCATATACGAACAATATTGATCGAACAGAAAGTTTTACAATTTTGAGTTATTTTTCGAAATGATATACGACCCTTATATAGTTCCTTTATAGTTATCCAATCATGTATTGCCTTTTAATAGAAATGTTACCCAGGGTTAAAGTGTGTCAAACCTTCAACTGGAGAATAAAGAAAATGACTGAAAATAAGCTAAAAACACTCAAAATATCTTGATCTGTAGTGATGAAAAACATACACACAAACCCTTGTTTTATCAATTCTTTGGATCTAAGCAACGAATGAAGGAACTCATCGTCAAAATGCATATTGTGATCCATATGTGGATATGTATTACCTATCCAGCATTCATATTTTTAGAATTACGTGTTTCTATTTTTAAAATTATGTGTTACTTTTTATAGAATTAGGTGTTACTATTTTTAGAATTGCGTGTTTCTATTTTTAGAATAGTATGTTACTATTTATAGAATTGCGTGTTTCTATTTTTAGAATTGCATGATACTATTTTTAGAATTGCATGTTACTATTTATAGAATTGTGTGTTACTATTTTTAGAATTGAGTGTTTCTATTTATAGAATTGCATGTTTCTATTTTTAGAATTGCGTGTTTCTATTTATAGAATTGAGTGTTACTATTTTTAGAATTGCGTGTTTCTATTTTTAGAATTGCGTGTTTCTATTTATAGAATTGTGTGTTACTATGTATAGAATTGCGTGTTTCTATTTTTAGAATTACATGATACTATTTTTAGAATTGCGTGTTACTATTTATAGAATTGCATGATACTATTTTTAGAATTGCGTGTTACTATTTATGTGAATCCAAAAAGAACAACCACACGCGTACATTCAGTTATTTTAAAAAGAAAATTTACTATTTAGATACTATTTATAGAATTGCGTGTTTTTTTTGTAGAATTGCGTTTTTCTATTTTTAAAAATTGGGTGTTACTATTTATAGAAATTGCTTGTTACTATTTTTAGAATTGCGTGTTACTATTTTTAGAATTGCGTGTTTCTATTTTTAGAATTGCGTGTTTCTATTTATAGAATTGCGTGTTACTATCTTTAGAATTGCATGTTTCTATTTATAGAATTGCTTGTTTCTATTTATAGAATTGCTTGTTTCTATTTATAGAATTGCGTGTTTCTATTTTTAGAATTGCGTGTTTCTTTTTTTAGAAATAGCGTGTTACTATTTATAGAAATTGCTTGTTACTATTTTGAGAATTGCGTGTTTCTATTTTTAAAATTGCGTGTTACTAGTTATAGAATTAGGTGTTTCTATTTTTAGAATTGCGTGTTTCTTTTTTTAGAAATAGCGTGTTACTATTTATAGAAATTGCTTGTTACTATTTTTAGAATTGCGTGTTTCTATTTTTAGAATTGTATGTTACTATTTATAGAATTGCGTGTTTCTATTTTTAGAATTGCATGATACTATTTTTAGAATTGCATGTTACTATTTATAGAATTGTGTGTTACTATTTTTAGAATTGAGTGTTTCTATTTATAGAATTGCATGTTTCTATTTTTAGAATTGCGTGTTTCTATTTATAGAATTGCGTGTTACTATTTTTAGAATTGCGTGTTTCTATTTATAGAATTGCGTGTTACTATTTTTAGAATTGAATGTTACTATTTTTAGAATTGCGTGTTACTATTTATAGAATTGCGTGTTTCTATTAATAATATTGCGTGTTACTATTTTTAGAATTGCTTGTTACTATTTTTAGCATTGCGTGTTACTATTTATTGAATTGCGTGTTACTATTTATAGAGTTGCGTGTTACTATATATAGAATTTCGTGTTACTATTTTTAGAATTGCGTGTTTCTATTTTTAGAATTGCGTGTTTCTTTTTTTAGAAATAGCGTGTTACTATTTATAGAAATTGCGTGTTACTATTTTTAGAATTGCGTGTTACTATTTTTAGAATTGCGTGTTTCTATTTATAGAATTGCGTGTTTCTATTTATAGAATTGCGTGTTTCTATTTATAGAATTGCGTGTTTCTATTTATAGAATTGCGTGTTTCTATTCATGTGACAAGACAGACCAACAAAATTTATAAAAAGGAAACGTTAAGATATGTTCAAACCTTTCTATGTTTGCTTTTAGAAAAAGTAAAAAGTTGAGCGTTGCCCCCGCCCGGCGGTGGCTCTTGTTTATTTGAAAACATGGTAACATTTGAAATGATCGAGTAGCATAAACAATAAGCAGTGTCTACGTAATTAAAATTAGTAGATGTATATGTATTATCAAAATAAAATGTAAATTAATGACACTTATTTATCCTTACTTTTCTTCTTCAATGTTATTGCACTGTATGACCTCCGTGTCTGAACTATGACTGTGTCCAAGGTTACAGTAGTAGTAACCCATTATCAGGTTCCGAGCCATTTTTCTGTTTGAGTGGTGACGAAATTTCTGAATTACAAATAATACATGGATTATACTCAATTCAATTTAATTCTTTTATTCATTGAAAACAAATTTTCATATGAATATAAACAGCTAACAAAACAACAAAAACTTCATCAAACATATGTAATAAACAATTACAAGTACAATTACAATATTGACACAATTTCAACACTTATAATGAATAATGCTATATGCAATTGTAATTATACCATTGTAAAAAAGAAAATAACAAAATTAGAGAATGACAAGTTACCAAAAAAGATCTCATTTAACAACTTATAGGATTTTCTTACAAAGTAAAGCTAATTTTGTTAATTTAACATGATCTTTACTGTTAGTTCATTCAATTTATAGTGTTCTAAATTTGCAAAGATATTTCATCAGCTCAACAGGTAGTTCGTCTAAATATTCTTCAAACTTGCATTCCTTTTTAAACACACGATAAACTAAACATTTAGGAGATGTATTCACTGTGTTGTACCATTCATTCAAAAACAAATCATTTAATTTGGTTTTAACAACATTTTTGAACTTTAACAAATTACTAACATTCTGATTTATAAAATACTCAGAAAGTCCCAAATCATCAAGAGTGTTCTTGACAAAGTTTATCCACGGAAACTTACATATATTGTCTTGACTATTTAAGGCGGCGAGGGGATGATTTCAATAAAAATGTGAATACAATAATCCATTAAATTAATACATGTATATAAATACAGCAATACGAATGGTACTTACTAAAATCTAGTTCGCTACTGTATGGAAATAACATCGATACGTGACGTAAACTTTTTGTAAAACGGTATAAATATTTATCACATTAACCGCGGCGCAGGAGTGTAATAAAGCCATTTAATAAAAACGATATTACACTAGTGTAATAACACTTTTTATCCTGTCACTTGTATCAATTTCGGCCCGATAACGAGGTGCCGTATATTTTTACTGATCTACGGCACTTGATCACGTGGTATGCATGTTTGCCGGACTACTTTTCAAGAAAAAATATAAAAAACTGTCGTTAAACATTCTGTGTGTAGAATAACGAATTTTGGAAATGTTGATAAAACTTTGTTTGTTTATTTTATTTCACTCTATAATTTTTCAAGCGAAATAAAAATTATTAAAAGTGAAATAAATGTAAAACTTAACTCGTTTTCGACATTAAAATAGCGTACTTGATCTGATTGTTTTGCACGTGCTGTTTGGCGCAACATTGTGACGTCACGTAAACAATACTTTAAACGTCTGTACAGCGTTAACGACTGAATAAAAGATATTGGTGTTCGAATTCATTTTCTTAGTTAGACCATTTTCTTTCATTCTAGATAGTTTTCACAACATAATTCGACAAAAAATTGTATTTATTTATCACATTTTTCAAACAAAATGGCGCCCTTAATGTGAAAATACGCAGGGAGATAATAAGAACGGCAAGTGCATTGTTGTAGAATAATGCACACTTCGGGCCTTTTTTGTTTATATAGAAACATTTCCGATACTGTGAATAAAGGTAGTTTGCCTAATAAAATTCTTTAAAAAAACGGTGACAGGATAAATAGAATAATAGATTGGTGCCGTGGATGGAGAAAGTTTATCTGGCTCTGCTCCGGAATTTATTGGGTTCGCCTTCGGCTCACCCAATAAATTCCTCCGCCTCGCCAGATAAACTTTCTCCATCCACGGCACCAACCTATTATTCCCTATGACGTGACGTCATTTGCGCTATATAGAAACATAGCGTTAAAGCGCGCTAATGTTAGCGTTACACTATATAGGCGCGTCATTGAAAAATAACTCATTTTAACAGTTTACTGTTCTTATTTTATATATGTGATAAATAGAATATTGTTTTCGTGTAGATTCAATACTAAATTTATTGAACTCGTTAAATAAAACAATATTATGCTCGCCAGAGGCTCGCATAATATGATTTTATTCAACTCGTTCAATAAATTTAGTATTTAACTACACTCATTCAATATCCTCTATGTCATAAAAAGTTAGCTTTGTAAAATGTGTGTGTATTTAGTCTTATTATCTTAATATGTGTATTAACAATGCATTTAAGACTCATTACAAAATTAATACCTACCCGTAGATAGTCGTTAAATGTTTGTTTTATTATGATAGTTACAGTTTAAAGTAGATTTTAGATGGTATTTAGACGCCAACAAACACTAAGTAATACTTACAACTTATGTACCAAATAATTCCTTAATATCCATATTTGAAATGAAACTATATGCTGCTTGTTTAAACTTCTAATATAAGGATATAGATAAGTTCTCGTTACCAAAATGTACGCTAGACGCCTCTAAATATAGACTTAAATATACATGTAGTATCGATCAATGAATAAATATCGATTTAAATACGCTTCCAAAAGAAATATCTTACCTGTTAGTGAATGACTGAACTAGAAAAGACTGGTTTATATTTTTGAATTTCTACATAGTTACAGGCAAGAAAAGTGTTCAATCAAACACGACACGCTTTTAAAATTAATTCTTGCTTTAAACCAAAATTTGTTTTACAGTGACAAATGACATCAGGATCTTGTCTCACTTACAGCACAAATTCGCTATTCCTTTCATTATCTGTTTACATCAATATTGACAAAAAGGGGTGTCGATAATTCTTATATAAAAGCATACTATTCATCGCCTTAATCTTTAATTACCTAAACAATTACTCATTTTATAACCGTTCAGGTAATAGCGTAGTCGTTGAGTGTCGGCTTCGTCAGTGAAGAGACCGTGATTCGATTCTTGGAAAAAGCATTTTTTTCTTTTCTTTTCTTTTTTGTTTTTAGATATTTTTCAAAGAACTGGATTTTAGTTCCTTGTGAATTTATTTCACACAATTCTATTTGAGAACATTTAGTTTAACACACACAATCGCTTTAACAGGTTAAGTTAGAGGCTAACACAGTCGTAATTAGTGTGATAAATAAGCAAAGGAAGAAATTTAAATATACATGTATCAATATACAAATGAGCCGAAATTGTTAAAAAAAATTAGCAAACTGAATTTAGAATTTTTTGAAGACTTAAATTTACAATACTTTTCAATCTGTTTGATAACTGTTAAAAATCAATTTCATACATTCAATTTTGCTTAACCTTTAAATTGTACAAAATATTAAATTAATCATTTATGAAAGAGAATATGAAAATGTTTTCTTAAAGTAAACACCATACAGACATAAAAATATTGCACAATTCCAGATTTGAACTCGAAGAAAAAAAGCATTTTCTTAACATGAACTCTTCATACATGTCATAAACACTACGCTACTCGGATTTACGTGTCTACAACCAATTTAATTCTTATTAATTGCAGTAAAAGTGCAAAAAGTAATAAACTGAATAACTTGCCCAACCCATTATATCAAAATGGTTTGACCGATTAATGTAAACGTTATCGTGTTCGACTTATACATTGATTTTGTTTATGAAATAAATATCATTATTATATAATCTATAAATAGCTTTAATGATCCTGTATGTTTTAATTAAGGTTGTTACCACACTTGATAGTGGTGTTGGTAGTTTTCACTCCGGGTCACGACAGTAAGCCACATTGATTCACCAGAGCACAGTTCGGGCAGGCTGTCAGGAAGTTTACCAGTACTAGTTGCCTTCATTTTCGCAAGGAACTGAAACATCAATACATGCCAGGGCAGAGGTACGGTGCGAATGACCATAGAAAGGATTTCATGATCAATCACAACGAAAATGACCTGCACCGTCCGGAAATCGAACCCGGGTCGCCCGATTCACAGTCCACAGCTCTATCTATTGAGCTAACCGGGCGGCTTGTTACCACACTTAAGTGAAATTTTATATATGTATAAAATTATCCTTCTAAAATTATTTTCAAACATCGAAGAATATGTAAAATATGTACTGCAAATATTTGCCCATATTATATGCAATCATTAAAATATATGCATTCATTTCTTATTGAAAAAATTGACTTAGGCTTTATAGAAAATAAATTTCTAATTACCACCCTTTATTAACATAAAATGTAAATTCGGTAATATCTTTCTTTACATATAATACTTTTTGGAACATACAATATTGAGAAATCTTCATTTGAGCATTATATTTATGATATTAAACCATAAAAAATGCATTTCCCTTATTGGCCTTTTTGTAAAAAAATAACTGGTGAATATAAGTGTACCATCTTATTTCCTACACAATTTCTACAACATTCGAATGCAATATGCGTGAACTATGGTGGTTGATTTAGTACGCTTAAATTGTGCGTCTAGTTTGCGCTAGCGACAACACGAAGCGCGTTGTCGGACTTTCGTCTTGTTGTACTGTCGCTAGCGACAACAGGCCAAACGGCGCGTTGTCGTGCGGCGCGCTGTCGCCCTGTTGCTTGGCTTATAAGCAAATCCTTCGATTTGAACCGAGCGACAATGTGACAACACGCCGCACGACAACGCGCCGTTTGGCGTGGATATATTTTCTTTGTCACACAATGTGTTTAATTCTATTTTTTTTTTTGAGAAATCGAATTGAGAAAATCGCTTTTTTAATGCAGGTTTTGCCACATTAAACATACCGGGAAAATCTGTTTCGTGTAGAACCCTTCCATAAAAATAAAAATTTCTTCAATGATCGATCTTTATTGAACTATTTTACCTATATTTCAGTCTAAATCCGCGTTTTGCGGTGTATAAATCGCTCGCAAGCGGAAATTATAGCGGACTGTGTCTTTTGTTCCACTGTTTTATAGTATGGAATGCCGGTAGGGACATGCCAATTTGCTTATTTGCCAATTGCTGAATTGCTTATTTGCTAAATGCCGATTCGCTTATTAGCCAATGGCTGATAGGCTTAATGACAATTTTGCTTATTTGCCAATTTCTGAATTGCTAATTTCCTTATTTGTTAACCGCTTGTTTAAGTATTTGCTTATTTGCCAATTGCTGATTTGCTTTTTTGCACACTGTGCCGGAAGTATATAGCAAATCTGACTACAGACAACCAGTCAGATCTGTTAACTTCTACCAACAGTATTCTTGGAAATTCCACTGAATACTGTTGGTCAATGAATTTAGTTGCAGTGATGCCTACGCAGATACATGTCTACAATTGATGGCTGACATGTCCTTGAGAATGCCTTATAATGTGTTACTGTAAATCTTTTTGTACAGCTAAAGTCAAAGACTGATGTCATTATAAACACTTGATTACACATATATAAGTGAAAATTATTGGGTGAAGATTGAAAATAAAAGAACTTGAAAACAAAACTATTTCTTATTTTATGGCACATAAAATGTGTATAAAGGGATCGTTATTCTCAGCATATTTGTCATGGAGGGCCTCATGTTTAGTGGTACAAACACATAGTATCATAAATGATCCACTTGGTGCATGCTAAACACGGGTGTTTGCCTTTGCACTTAAGCAATAGGCTTAGTTTTTAGCTCTCTAAGATTTTGAGATCACTTATGTATGTGTGTGCATCAACATTTTGCTTTTAACCACTTGAGAGGTATCACTTGTGGTTGGATCTTCATCAAATTTGGCCACAATGTTAATATTGTGGATTTCTAGATTGTGATGAAAAATGAGTCATGTGAGGGCCAAATCAAGGTCACAATGTCAAATCATACAAAAATCATGTAAACACTGTAGTGGTCACAATTTGGACATGGTCCTCATCAAACTTGGTCACAATGTTCATCTGGATGATATTTAGGTCAAGATATTAACTGTGTTACATGAGTCAAAAATTAGGTCATAGTCATAGAATATACTTTATTTACCACTCTAGAAATACCAGTTTTGATTCAATGTTCTTGAAATTTGGTCACACTTTTCCATTTCTTCATGTTGAACATTTAATATGCCATCGTGGCATTCAGGTGACCATGACCATGACAAATAATGGACAAAGCCTCTCTGTATACTTTGTATGCCTGTTGTCTAATGCTTATGTGAAGTTAAAGTTAGATACAGAGATATGACAGAAAAACAAGTTACCAAGAAAAAAAATGCCTTGGTGGGTAGAATGGTATCAATATTCTCTGAATAGTGGAGCTAAAATTGAAACTTTGAAACTGCAGATAATTAAAAAAAAAACTCGTTTTTGAAACTGAATTTATTTATTTTCGAAATAGAATAAAACTTTGATCAAAATCGTCACAAGTTATAATTAACAAAACTTTATAAACATAACAACATGATATTGGTTCATGAGCTTGAAATAAAGTCTACAAAGATTTGTTATGTCATATCAAATAAGAACTTCGCGACTGACGCATTCGGAACTGCCTCGGCTATTATCTATAATAACTGACGGAAAGGGCCGAGTAGTTGCGATTGCGCCTGACGGTAGCAAGCAAATACGGAAGCGTCCTGGTGCCAATTTAACATGTTCTATAAAAAAGATAACTCCTGCGTAGGACTTTGTAACTCCTACGTAGGACTTTATAACTCCTACGTAGGAGATAAAAAAAGGCTAATTAGGAGTTTATAACTCCTACGTAGGACTTTGTAAGTCCTACGTAGGACTTTATAACTCCTACGTAGGATTTTATAAGTCCTACGTAGGACTTTGTAATTCCTACGTAGGAGATATAAAAACCTAATTAGGAGTTTTGAAGTCCTACGTAGGACTTACAAATTCCTACGTAGGACTTTATATCTCCTACGTAGGAGTTAAAAAAGCCTAATTAGGCTACTCTTACGTAGGACTTTATAACTCCTACGTAGGACTTTTTAACTCCTACGTAGGACTTTTTAACTCCTACGTAGGACTTTGTAAGTCCTACGTAGGAGATAAAAAAGCCTAATTAGGAGTTTATAACTCCTACGTAGGACTTTATAACTCCTACGTAGAGGAACACATATAAAGTCCTACGTAGGAGTTATAAACTCCTACGTAGGACTTTTAAACTCCTACGTAGGACTTTAAAACTCCTAATTAGGTTTTTTTAATCTCCTACGTAGGAGTTATAAAGTCCTACGTAGGAGTTATAAAGTCCTACGTAGGACTTATAAAGTCCTACGTAGGAGTTATAAACTCCTAATTAGGCTTTTTTAACTCCTACGTAGGAGATATAAAGTCCTACGTAGGAGTTTGTAAGTCCTACGTAGGACTTCAAAACTCCTAATTAGGTTTTTATATCTCCTACGTAGGAGTTACAAATTCCTACGTAGGACTTATAAAGTCCTACGTAGAACTTGCAAAGTCCTACGTAGGAGTTATAAACTCCTAATTAGGCTTTTTTTATCTCCTACGTAGGAGTTATAAAGTCCTACGTAGGAGTTACAAAGTCCTACGTAGGAGTTATCTTTTTTTATAGACC